ATATATATACACAAATTAATAATTAATAATATTCTGAGTGGCGGGATGTCCAATACCTAAAAATTTTTTTAATAACAATTAGACAATTAAATATACATTCGTAACCACATTTTTGTTAAAGCAATCATCAAAAAATAAGTAAATTACTTATATAAAATTTAAATTTATTTACTCAATAATTTGGATTTAAACAAATAATTCTATTCATATTAATCAAATTAAACTCCTATCATTGAGACAGTCTATTACTAATAAATTATTAGTGGGAGAACATTTAGTAAAATTAAGAAAGTGATGAAAATTGTATCCTAAAGTATACACTGAATTAATTTCGCAACTTTAAAATATATATTAATTGTTATTGAATCATTGATAAATTATTACTTCCAGGAACTGACGAGAAAACCCGGAATTAATTCTCGGATCTTGTACAAGAATCTCCAACAGAATACCTAAACTAGACTTTGCGAATGGACTTTATGGAAAGCAATGAGGAATAACTCTCCACCATGATGAAAATAATTATGATTCTCTATCGGTACAAACCACGCAATCACTAGCATTCATCTGACGCGAAGAATAGCAATGAGGTCTTTGTAATATATAATAAATTAATCACTAAGATATTTATAAGTTATAATTCTATAATGTTAAAAATGTAAATGTCAAAAAGCAAGCAAGAAGTTAATATTTACCTATTGCTTCAGTCAAAGCTTCAATCTTTATAATTTATTTAATAAATATATCATTATAAATACGAAGAAAAATTGACGATTTTAAACATCAAATTTTTAATTAGAAGTCACTCAAAATTATTAATGACTTTTTGATATTCAAAATAAAATTTAAAAAAAGTTTCAAGATAAAACATTTGTCAAACTTGTGAAATTAATAAACAATTTATCATATATTTCATCGATTTCGTATAATTTACATCATCGTATAATTTTACATCAATAAAGTAACAAAAAATTTGATTTACTACGACAAGATAAATGCTTGCAAATGTTTGTATT